CCCCCCCCATGGCCTCTGCATCATCTCCTGCCTTGAGGTTCCTGCCCTGCTTGAGTTCCTCTCCTGATTTCATCCAAAGATGAACAGTCATGTGGAAGTCTGGGTTTTTTTTTCCCAACCCTTTCCTCCTAAATTTGCATTTGGCCACTGTGTTTTATCACAGCAACAGTGAGCCTAAACTAAGACACCCGGTTCAGTGGCACATGCCTGTAACTCCAGCATTTTGGAGGCTGTAGAAAATTTCAGAGGTACAAAAGAATTAGATCACAAATTTAAGCCCAGTTTAACCTCTATGACAAGACCTTGTCGGGGTGGGGATGTCTAGAAAGTTCTAGAACTACACTATTCAATATGGTGGCAAGAACCTACATATGGCTATTAAAATTAAAATTAATTTCCTTGCTGGGTGGTGGTGGAATACACCTTTATTTCCAGCACTCTGAAGGCAGAGGTAAGTGAAACTCTGAGTTTGAGGTCAGGCCTGTCTTCAGAGTGAGATCCAGGCAAGCCAGGGCTATGCAGAGAAACCATGGGAAAAAACTTACAATTAATTTCCTCAGCCAGGCACTGGTGGTCCACACCTTTTAATCCCAGTGCTAAGGGAGCAGAGGCAGGAGGGATATTTCTGAGTTTGGGACTAGCCTGGCCTATAGAGTAAGATCCAGGATAACTAGGACTATACAGAGATCCCATCTTGAAAAAACAAAATAAATAATGTATATGGATGTTTTGCTTGCATGCCCGTGTACCGTGTACATGCAGTCCCTCCAAGACCAGTAAGGCTGTCAGACGCTGCAGAATTAGTTATACTGGAGCTGAGAAAAGAACCCAGGCTTCTACAAGAACAGCAAGTGTTCTTAACCGTTAAGGCCGGCACATGGACCATTATTTGACACATACACCAACATGTCTACTTTTCATGTTATCTGTCTTAATTTTAAAAAATAGTTTCTGGCTGGGCAGTGGTGGTGCACACCTTTAGTTCCAGCTCCAGCAAAGGCAGAGGAAGGTGGATCTCTGTGAGTTCAAGGCCAGCCTGGTCTACAAGGTGAGTTCCAAGACAGCCAGGGTTACATAGAGAAACCCTGCCTTTAAAACCCAAATAGAAGAGAGAGAGAGAGAGAGAGAGAGAGAGAGAGAGAGAGAGAGAGAGA